TATTCTATGAATTATTGTGTCTACTATGAATTACTCAGTATCTACTGTGAATTACTCAGTATCTACTATGAATTATTCAGTATCTACACGAATTATTCAGTATCTACTATGAATTATTCAGCATCTACTATGATTTATTCAGTATCAACTATGAATTATTCAGTATCTACTATGAATTATTCAGTATCTACTACAAATTATTCAGTATCTAATATGAATTATTCAGTATCTACTATGAATCTACTGTTTGAGGTCTGTATTTATGAGAATGTGAGCACTTGCAATTTAATGGCAGTTTAATGGACTTGGTACGTAAAGGCCTTTAGATAGAGAGATAGAGAAGGAGTGAGATAGAGGGAGAGATGGGGAGAGAGAGAGAGATGGGGAGAGAGAGGGAGAGAAGGAGAGAGAGAGAGAGATGGGGAGGGAGAGGGAGAGAGAGAGATTGGGAGAGAGAGAAAGCGAGAGAGAGAGATTGGGAGAGAGAGAGAGAGAGGGGGAGAGAGAGGGGGAGAGAGAGGGAGAGAGAGAGAAGGGGGGAGAGAGAGAGAGAGAAAGAGAGAGAGAGAGAGAGAGTTTGCAGTGGTGGTTTGGTGAGTGGCTGTTGTAAGAGATGAAAGTGTGTGTGAAATTCAGCGCCTCTTTCTCTTCCTGAACCCAAAACACCGCTGGCACACGACTAAACACACACCAAACTCACGGCCTCACAGCTGGGTCTCATTCATCCCTCCGTCTCTGCTCCCTCTCTCCCTCTCTCTCCCTAAAGACATTGTCCCGGGGTGAGAAAGTGTTTGCGTTTCCACGGGCGACGACGAGAGCCGCCGACGATGATGTCAAACCTGAGAAGGCTTTTTTAAAGCGGGCTCTTCAAAGAGAAAATTAAAAGACGGGGCCCTTTTGAGCTGCTCTTTGGGGAAACAATTACAGAAACATATTTTGAGGCTATATTCTAATTCCAACCAAATGTAATTAATTCAACACCTCCCTCTGATTGATGTGTTCTTCTCTGCGAGCTTCACACAGAGACTCTGCCGACTTTCAGCAACACTTTACACTGAGATTAGTCATTTATGATGTCATGATCAATGTATTAATCAGCTATTAATTAAAGGGGCTTTACCATGATTTCATTAATTAAAAAGTTATAGTAATTAAATATAATAATTATAATAATTTAACAGTTACGCATAATGTAAACAGAGTCATTCAGAGTGGTTTGGTGTGAAACGCTCTGTTCTAGAGAAACTTACAGAGCCAGAACTGTTCACAGTGGTGGTGATAGGAACCAGACATCCACCTCTAAAAGCTCCCTCACAGAAAGTTCCTACATGAAATGGTTATGAATTCACTGCCTGATGACTGAGACACTGTTTTATGATAGTTTTGAGAACTTAAACTCCATTCATGGTGGAGGGATACATAATATGCAGGGCGCTGTGAGGCAAAATAGTCCCCAAAGAAAACTTATTATTTCAGATTTTCCACTATTTTCCATCATCAACATTCCATATAAACTCAGAAGACTCGTGTAGGTTCACTGGTGGTTTTGGATAGTAAATAAAATGTCTATATTTGTGTTGTAGCCATGGCGACCCCTGGTTCCTATCACCACCACTGTAAAGACATCTGAACCATCTCACACCAAACCACTCTAAACAAGTCTCAACCATTCAGTTATTGAGTATTAATTACAGATGAAGTATAATATTAGCAGTAAGTCACAGTTTCTTTGACAATATCAAAATAATGCTGTAATATTATATACATTTTCTTTATATTTAAACAGGTGTAGAAATTGTGTAGAGAGTGCAGATTCTACATTTTTATTCCACATCACATCAGTGTTTTTGAGTAGAAGAGGAGAGAATTTATTATGATCTGAATTTGGTGGAAAGTTATCGAGTGTTTTACAGTTTTGTTTTGGAGAAAGAAAAAAAAATGAATTTGCTGTTTTTGTCATTTTGGAGAAAAAAGTCGGAGGCACAGACTCTAAGATACATACAGAATGCAATTCATAATGTACTATTCAGTAATAATAATGATAATAATAATAATAATAATAATAAAAATATCTGTTCATAAAACACTTTTCATGGTGGTAGCAGCTCAAACTGCTTTACAGACAGATAATAAAGTGTGTAACTAACTGTTCAATACACTATTCAGTAATAATAATAATAAAAATAATAATAATAACAGTAGTAGTACATAATAATAGTATTCTTTACTCATAGAGCACTTCGTGCTGGAAGCAGCTCAAAGTGTTTTATAGACAGGTGAGAAAGATTAACAGTAATAGAAGAAACTATGAGTATTAATTTAAAGTTCTATAAGACAATAACACAGATCAGTTTAATAAAATAAACACTAAAGAGCCGTAGAGCTTTAACGCAGCGCTGAGTTAAAGAGCTACGTTTTCAGATGTTTATTGAAAGTGAGCTCTGAGCTCGACTGTCTACACTCTCGGAAAAAAAGGTGCCAAACTCTCACTGGGGTGGAGCCCTCTAGAGTACATCTTCAGTTAGGGATCTGTTTCATATTCCACTGTATTATGTTTTTTAAAGCTGAATTGATTCCACACACGCTGACTCGTCACCAGGAGAGAACCTGGGAAAAACGTACTAAGTACACAGTCAGACTTTGAAACCCCTGATGTTCCTTTGAGGGGACGTTTACATTGTTTGTACCTCGATGAACGAAAAATGTACAGAACCTTTATTTCTGACTGTCTAATAAAAGCTGAACTGAGCTCCACAGTTTAGAAGCAGAATGACTGAAAGAGTCTCTCCACGTTTTCTGTGTTTTACTGAAGGAGTTCAGAAGGTCAGAATCTGCAGATCTAAGATCATAAACAGACAGACATTCAGGAGCTTTAGGGTCATTTAGAGCTTTAAAAACCAGCAGCAGAGCCAGGCGGTCAGTGCAGTGTGTAAACGTGGTGATATGAGCTCTCTGTGTTGTTTTAATAAAAACAGACAATAAACTGTAAATAAAAAGAGACACAGATGAAAAGGAGTCATTTAAAAGAATTAATAAATACTTTATTAATAAATATTTACAAAAATATATTTTAATGGTGATAAAGATAAAGAAGAGGTTGTTTTAAAGAAATAGATGGAAACATCTGTATTTTTTAAAAGTAACAGAGGAGGAGAGAGGGAGTGATAGAGCTAGGGTATTTAATGAAAGGAGAGATAATGGGGGGCATTTAAAGAAAGGAAATGTGTGTGTGGGGGGGGTGGTGGCTGGGGGGGGGTTAAAGAACACTGTATGTGCCCTGACCCACATCCCTTCACTAATGATGCCCTGCGGGTTCAGACCCTCATTACACACACACACACACACACACACGCACACACACACTCACACATACACTCACACAAACACACACTCACACACATCCCTCGTCCGCTCCGTGCGGCGCCGATAACCGACCTCCAGGGTCCTGCCGAATAGCGCACCAAAACCTGCAGCTACTGAACAGGTGCAGCCCCCCAGAGACGTACACACATACACACTCACACACCAGGCTGCATGTGAGTGTGTGTGTGTGTGTGTGTGTGTGTGTGCTGGAAGTAATGAAGGATGGCAGGTAGAGTGAGAACAGACCAGAATCCCCCCAGACAGGCTAGTGGCAACAACCCTCCCACCATCACCAGCCCCCCGAAAACACCACACACCCCCACCCCTGTATACACATAAACATACGCAAAGCACAAAAACACACAGTGCTGAGTGAACTTTAGACTGAGTTCATCCTCTAGTTTTAGTTTAGTCCAGTTTTAGTTTATTCTAGTTTAGTTTAGTTTAGTCTAGTTTAGGTTAGTCTAGTTTTACCTTATTCTAGTTTTACTTTATTCTAGTTTAGTTTAGTTTAATTTTACCTTATTCTAGTTTTACCTTATTCTAGTTTTAGTTTAGTCAAGTTTAGATTAGTCAAGTTTTACCTTATTCTAGTTTTAGTTTAGTCTAGTTTAGATTAGTCTAGTTTTACCTTATTCTAGTTTTAATTTATTCTAGTTTGGTTTAGCTGAGTTTTACTTTATTCTAGCTTATTTTAGTCTAGTTTTATTTTATTCTAGTTTAAGTTTAGTCTATTTTTAGTTGATTTGTTTCAGCTGCACAGTAAAAGTTGAGACTGACTGCTGTACTGTGAGGTTTTTGGGTCCCCAAAGTACAAACAATGTAAATGTAGTCAAATTTAAAAGGCTGAAAGGTCGAATTGCATGGTTTGTTGATTGTCTAAGTGAAAGTAACACATCATAAAATAACACAAAACCGTGTATCTTCATTTTTGTAGTTTTTCATTTTTTGACATAATTTGAAAAGGTCAGTGGCCCTTTATGACGGGTCAAAATTTCATGATGAACAGACCAACAGAAATGGGCCAAAATTACTTGGAAGAAATTATGCATATATATATATATATATATATATATATATATATATATATATATATATATATATATATATATATATGTGTGTGTTTGTGTGTGTGTGCATATCTATCCCCCAGTATGTTCAGCACAAAAACAGTAATCGTGCATTTAAAGTGTTTTCTGTAAGTTCTTCAAGGGTTCTGTAGTAGTGACAATGGTTCTATATAGAACCATAAACACGCAAAGAAACATGTCATCCTTAAAGCGTTCTTAGCATGGTGAAATGGTTCTTCACATAGATGGAGAATGGTTCTATGTAGCACCAAAAAGGGTTATTCTATTGTTACGATGTCATGCTTGTATACAATAACGCTTTTTTAGTGCTATACAAAGGTTCTATATAGAACCATAGACAACTTTTTAAATTATTATTATTTTCTTTTTTCTTCACAGCTGTAGCCGGAATGTGTGAAATCTGATGGATGTTTTTCTACTCAGTCCCGGATCAGGCTGGCCAAACATTTAATAACACCAAACCCACCGACATCCAGAAAAACACCGCAATTACACTCGTTTATTCCTGCCACTCCACCCTCTCCATCCCGCTGTCTTTCCTCCACCATGCCGAAGGAGGAGTGCAAAGTGGCTCCGGGCTGTAAGCAGCACAAGGAGCGGAAGCCCAAGAAGCCGCACTACATCCCGCGTCCCTTCGGCAAGCCGTACAACTACAAATGCTTCCAGTGTCCGTTCACCTGCATGGAGAAGTCGCACCTGTACAACCACATGAAGTACAGCCTGTGCAAAAACTCCCTCTCTCTGCTTATAGAGTCCGACTGGCCTTATAAGAAAGGCAACCTGCTCCATTCAGACCACCTGCGGCTCCAGCAGGGGGCGCTGAACTCTCGTAACAGTCCGGCTAAGGAGATGCCAGAAGGGGGCACTGTGGCAGAAGATGCTTCCATCCAAGCTCAAAACTTGGACCTCAGCTTCAACGAAGCTGAAGAGACGGAGACGGAAGAGCGGGACGCAGAGGGAGGGGCGGGCCAATCGGAGGCTGCGGAGACAAACACCAACGGTGCGACCAACGAAAGTCCGAAGCAGGAGGCGGAACTTGTGATGGCCGACGTGTTTTCATTGGAGGAGCAGCTGCTCAGAGCGCGGTCAGTAGAAGTGGAGGCCAAACTGCGCCATTACCGACTTTCCAAAACGTGCCTGTCCGGCCCGGCCGCGCTTCTGTCCGAACAGTTCCGCCTCCTTAGCAACCAGACGGCCAGCGCCAAGCCGAAGTCAGACACTGTGGCCGCTGGGTCGCTCCCCTGTTACCCTCCCCCTTTGACCCCGGGTCATGTGGACTGCTCCGAAGCCCCCGGCCTTAACCTCTCACTGCTGGGGGTGGGATACCCTTTGACCCCTGTCACCCCTGGACTCTTTTCCTACCTGAATCCTGCCCTCAGTGCCGCCAACGCAGCCGCTGTCACCACAGCGACCGGCTCGGCTCAGATCGGACCCCTGCCCTTCCTGGCGTCGGCGGCCCAGCTCACACACACTCACACACACTCGGACCGCACGCTGCTGACCCCTCCGAGACTCTACTACCCCTTCCTCTGCGAGCACACCTTCGGTAAGCAGCACATCATTCGTTACAGTTATTATTCATGTGGATCTGTATCTCAAACACTTTCCACTGTCCTTTCACACAAAAGGTTTGAACTTCATTCTGGATGTTTTCCAGCTTTCTCTGTCATTGTAGAATCTTTTACAGCTCTGTAAAACTAACTGTACAAAAAGTCATTAATTAAATTATATAATTAATTAATTAACACATTTCTTAGCCTCTAGTTTCTAATATTTGAACCTACACTGTATTTATTTTTGGTATAATGAATTAATTAATCATTTCTGTTGCCCCTGCAGGAGATCAAGCTAAGTCATTGAAGTCCAGCGTGTCTCTGGACACCGCTGCCCCCACATACACACCCAAACTGAACATGTGGAAGGTTCCAGCGCTGAGACCCTCGAACCCTCAGACCTCAAACTCAGCCTGGACTTCTCCTGGCCGCTCATCCACAGACAGGCTGCCGGCCCGCGACGCTAAAGAGCAGGGAGTGAAGAGGGCAGCGGCTGCTGTGGACTCCCACAGTGCACCAGTGGAGAAAAAAACACTGCTTTCCTTCCCACTGGACCGGGCCACGCCCACTGCCACCATAACAGCCGACCGGCTTCTCCTGCACAGCAGGTAAGAGCAGAGGTGAAACACCAACACCCCCCCTTAAGACACATGTAGTCAATCACTGCAGGCATAAATCGTGTGTGTGGTTCTGAAATAAACCTGCTGAAGTGGTTTCTGACACCGTGTACCATCACAAGATCGTAGATCTGTCTTATAGGATCGTTCTTCATTCTTCATTATTGCACACCACAGATGTTTGATTTGAAATCAACTACACACTTAAAAATGAGGGTTCTTCAAAAGTTCTTTTGTACAGAAAAGCATTCTATATAGAACCATGAACACTCAAAGAACCCTTTGTATGCTTAAATGGTTCTTTCCATGGTGAAGTCGTTCTTCAGGTTGATGGAGAATGTGCTGTATACGGTTCTATATAGGACCTTTTTGAAAAGGGTTCTATATAGCAACAAAAAGGTTCTTGTATTGTGTCAAGCTCAACAATAGAAGAACACTTTTTGGTGTTATATGGAACCCTTTTATAAAAGGTTACATCCAGAATGAAGTTTTAATAAAATTTCCATCCAGAATGAAGTTCTAATAAAATTTCCTTCCAAAATGAAGTTCTAATAAAATTTTTGGAGGTTAATTTTATTACAACTTCATTCTGATATATAAATTTTATTAGAACTTCATTCTGGACGTTAATTTTATTAGTATTTCATTCTGGATGTAAATTTTATTTTAATTTCATTCTGGATGTTTTCTTCTTTTTGACCTTGAGGGTTTTAAAACATGATGTTCCTTTATAACATCTCTACTTTCTTTTGCACCTCTTTCTGTCTTCTTTCTTCTCTTTTGTTCTGCTGTCCATCTCGCAGTCTTAGTTTGCCTGTTTTTCTCACTGTTTCTCTCTTGCTCTGTTTTCCTGTCTGTTTCTCTTCTCTTCTTTTCTCTCTTTCTCTAGTCTGCACTCTCAGGCCGGGCTGGACGAGCGCTTCTCCGTCAGCCCCTCCAGCCCTGGCTCCTCCCCCCTCCACGGCTCGGAGAGAGCGAGGGAGCAGGGCGAGGAGAAGGAGCGAGGGATGGACAGAGGGATGGAGAGCTGCGCGGCCGCTCTGCTGCGTGATCTCTCCTCGGCACTGCAGGAGTACCAGCATGCGGAGCGTCAGGCCGCCCTGCAGCCCGAACAGCGCCACCTGTGGGCCCACCTGGGTAAAATCCGCTCCGAGCTCTCCCACATCCAGCAGGCGCTCGAGCGGACGGCCCGCCAGAGCGACGGACCCCTAGACCTGTCCGTCAAGAAGGATGTGGTCGCCATGACGATCGCGGCGGAAGGTGTCAGGCAGCCGGGCGTCCTGGGAGATGGGAAGGAAGCAAAAGAGGAGACATGGTGCTCGGAGACGGACGAGGAAGAGGAAGACAGGGACGAGGGAGAGATGGACGAAGAAGGGAGCGAAATGAAAGAGAGACGCAAGCGTTCCCTGGACGTCCTGATCAAGCTGAACCAGTCGGGGGTCTCCATGGTGAAGCCGGGCGCTCCCCTGGTAAAGCCGGGCGTTTCCATGGTGAAGTCTGAAGTTCTGCCCGGAGTCGGTGGAGGTCTGGCGCTGAGGGCGGCTGAGGCAGAAGCTTTATGGCACAGCAGAACCACAAAGTGTGAAGCAGATTCCAGCGTGCTGCTGTGCTCGAAAACACCAAACCGCCCATCATCCATCCAGCACCTGGACCCTGTGTGCCCCCCCAGTCCACTGACGGCCACCGATGCCTAACTGCCCCTTCTCTGCCTGCTTAGCTGCCACCTATGAGTGGAAAAAGAGCCCATACTCAAATAAGAGCACTGCTACTATAGTGAGAATTCTCCGAACACAAGTAAAAGTATTTGGGTCAATCCACATGAAACCACTGAAGGCCTCCTGACTGACCGTCTCAGGTTTGCTTAATATTTCACAAATGAATATATTTTGATAAAAAGTCTCCAAAATGAAGGAAGGAAAAAAACGTTCTTAACTTTGAATGGAAGTTAATGGAACTAATTTTTTCCAGGGAATTTTGGACTATATATTCTGGAAATTCTTCATGAAATTTTTAAATTCTGTAAAAAAAGACAAAATTGGAGGTACACAGTGTTGTTCTGATAGCAATGATATAATACTACTTAATATTTTACATAAAATGAGTAACTGCTATTGTGCTTGAAAGATGTGTGCAAATTCTAGGCTTGTATCTTCACCAGTTTCTGAGATATAGAGACTTCAAAAAGTGGTTGTGGCCTTAAAATCCGAGCTACTAAAAAAGGTGCAAACATCATGACTTTTGAATTATTGAAGTTACATGCATGAAATTTGGACTGTTTCATTTAGACTTTACTACCAAAATCAGACGACATAGAGAAGGATGTTTACCATTTTACGTTGTGCTGAAAATCTGGAAAGAAATTGTGAATTTTAACCTTGTTGATCTCGACAATGAAGCACAATAGATTGTGGTATTATTCACATCGCAGTACTCTTTTTCCTAATTTTCCTAATGGCATTAGTCTTACAGTTATGAGGTTTTTTGATTTATAGAAACACATTCTGCTTACGATTTGAATTAAAACAATTTAAATTTAAATTACAGTTTAAATCTAAATTTACTAAAACGTTTTATTTTAATCAAAGCACATTTCAATGAACCAGATGTAGCAAATATAGCAAATTGAATATGAAGTTGGTATCATTAGCCAAACTATACTTATTAAATTGTCAAATACACATTTTACAATAGACATATAAAAAAAAAAACATATAAAAAAACAGGAACTACATATATAAGTGCAGTTTTTTTCAGATTTTTATAAAATAGCAAAAACAATTTATAGCAGTTAAACACACCTTAAAGCAAAGAATAATCCCTGGAATTTCCATGTATTTAGCGCCAAAATTTAAAAAGTTGTGACAGCAAAATTGCACCCTCTTCCACAGCACTGATTTTAAGGCAAAAAAAAAAATAAATCCCCTAAATCTCAAAAGAAGAATAATGAATATTCAAACCTAAAATTTTGCACAGTTTCTTGGGCATAATGACTTTACTTCCTGAAAATATTAAGCAAATACGAGATGGCCAGATAGTCAAATAAAATATCTAAAATCTGATGAACTTGGGTAGATTTGCCTTATTGCAATTTATAAGAATTTAATCGTTACAGTCTTACCAGTTTTCTGAAGTGTCTGTGTCCATGTCCACTGCTGATGACCACCTGACCTACAACACCCCCCCCCCACCTCCATGCTATCCTTCACCTATGACTCAAACAGAACTGAACAGAACTTTTAACTTAACTCAGAATCTGGGAGAAACAGACTTCTAATGGACTTCTAGCAGAGAGAGCGAGTGACCATGAACTCCAACCCTGTTCATACTGTATACCAAAGGAGAACCTCAGAACCACAGCCAGGATGAGTGAAATCAATCTGTTCAACATATCCAACCTCCAACGTACCACAGACAAAGAAACAGAAACCCAGTAGAGCTGACTGCCTTCTGCTTTTCATTTATTACGAATGACATGGAAATAAGAAATTTAGATGTTTAAAATGCATCGTTTTTGGCTTCGTTAGTGACGGCATTTACCAATTATATCAGCATGTTAACATCTACTTCACAAACACGTCTCTCAGTAAAACAGATCTAATAAAATAAAATGAGCTAAGAATTGGGTGAAGAACGAACAAAACAAAAAACAAACGAGTCTGAGAGCAAAAGACGTGAATTTGGGACGCCAAAGCCGAGCACCTTACGGAAGAGACAACAGAGGGAAGGTTTCATCTCAGGCCGTCCACACATGTCCAGATATTTTTGAAAATGTAATTCTGACCTCCCTTCCACACAGACATGCTTTCATTTTTGAAAACTCCACCTTTTCAATGTGGATGGGCAAAAAGGCAGCTTTTGTGCATCTGTGTAGCTGTTTACAGTTATTGATCATGCAGAACTCTGATTTGGGAGTTGATAACCAGTTTATTATTAAATTTGACATTAATTTTCACTAAACTGTAGTGGCGTCAGAGCGTAATGAACTCAGTTCTTGTAAATGTGGCATCACCTCGACTGCAACTATTAAAAATACCTTGATGATTCTACAGATATATGACTGGATGATCTTTAACCAAAGTCAGATTCCAAATAAATCATAACTACATGATTCAAATGGGAAGAATAACAAGAAAAGCTCAGCTTGTCTGCCTGATCAGGACCGTGTGGATGTATCAGAGATGGTAGTGTAGCTGTGTGTAAACCAGCCCACTGCAAGTAGTAGGTTTCCTTCTGCTTATTTCAGCTTTTATTTTCTGGCAGAGTTTGAGCATTAAATCTGTGTGAAATACAGAATTATGGAGGACTGAAGCTCTGAAGGTCACAGCCTGCTGTGTTTGTAACATGCATCCATTGGCAATATCAAATGTTATAGGGTGTTGTCTCCCCCTACTGGGCTGGCGTGCTCGTGCAAGCGTTTTTTAAATCTTTGCTGGTTCTCGCATGGACGGAGAGATTTCCGAAAGCACTGCTGGTGCAATATTCTGAAAACGGAAGTACATTTTAAAAATTTTAGCCACGTGTGGACGAGGCCTCGGTCATCAATGTGACCGCGTCAAATAATGACTTAATTATTGTAATTATTCAGGAATTTACATAGTAACGTAATGGATGGAAAGAGAAAGAAAAGTCACAAAATGAAGTACTAATCAGATTTCAGAGATACGGCTGAAAATAAAGCGAATTTATTTTGTACAGAATGTATTTACAGTGATATTTAAATGTTTTGCTGTGTTGTGTGGACTCTAAAGAGTTTCATTTGCACTGTGTAAATATTCAGCTTCTGTTTCCTGCAGGATCTCTATGGCGTGTTTGATGAAACTGACTCTCACTGATCCTCCATCACTCGCACAGAAACGTTACCTTTTCACCAAAGCGAAAGGAAGAAAACTCTCTTCTTCAGTCACTCAATAGGAAAGTGTTGCCGAACTTGTTCATATTATTGTGAATTTGATGTTCATTGCAGAATTTCGAGTGAATAAAACAGTAAAATATGAAAAAAGTTCTTCGGTTAATTGCTTTTTGGGGGATTTATTTTAAAGGGCCCACATTTTTCTAGTTGATGTGCACTTATGTTTACAGATTTTTTTATGTACCAAAAATAATTCACTTTAAATGACTATTTTCCAACCTCTCTTCCTCCCTTACAGTTAAACAGGCTGTGTTTTTTTTTGTTACTGCACATTTAAAACTGACATATGTAAATGAGCTGTGTTCTGATTGGCTGCCTCACCTTCAGTGTGAATGGGTGGAGCTGAACTGCTGTAGACTGAACAGGAGTATATATATATATATATATATATATATATATATACACATTGATCGCTGTTGTCGGACCAAAACCTTGTATCTCCAAAATGGTAACTTTACAGGAGAAGGAAAAAACCTACTTTACTTTTAATGTAAGTCAATGGAACCAGACTTTTTTCCACATCATTTTGGGCTGTTTCTTTTGATCCATTCATCTTGAAATTTACACACAATGTAAAGGACAGTAGGCATTTTCGAATTATGTCAAAAACTGAAAAAAGAGGTTTTGATCCGACATCAGCAATATATATATATATCAATTGTTTTTTTTTTTTGTGACATCACAAAAACAGTGAATTCAAAGTGGGCTGTTTCTGCAGCTTAGTTTTCATAAATAGACTGTATGGAGTGGGGAGTGAATGATAGGTTCTGAAACTTTAATGGTGCTTATACACTACATAAAACTCTTTTATTTAAAAAAAAAAGGAAAAATTTTAAAAAGTGATTTAAACACCTGAAAGATCTGCAGGGTTTGTCCTCTCAAGCTAGTGCTGCCATTAATATTTGTATGTGACATTGTTTTCCTCTAAATAAACATGATTAGGCTTTAATATGGTGCCAAGCAACAAACAGAACTTTTGTTGGAAAACCCTGATGTCCCCAAACTTTTGATGTGCGCTCTATATTGGTAACCGCTGTGGACCAAAACATTTTTTTCTCCGTCAGTGGCCGAGGGAGGTTTTTAAAGCCTCTGCATTAGCTGTATCTGTGGGGACAGATTTGTCGGGGAGGTCGAGCCTCAGGTCAGGAGGCCTCAGACACGGCCGTCGCCGGGAAACGGTTGCTGGTGGTAACGTGGTTCACCCTAATGGAAGCCGACGGGGGTTTTTTGTCTTGTTGTGGGTTTATGGGATGTGTAATGACGTTTTGCCCCGCTCCATTAAAGGTGAAGCTCCTCTCACGGCCGTACCTGAACAGAGGTCACCCTCAGGGGTCACGGGGAAAGGTCAGGAAAGGGTTGACGCACCTGCACGCTAAAGGTCACCTGCCAGGCTCTAAAGGCCAAAAACCTGAGTTAAAAAATCTTTCCGCTATAACAGATTCTGATCACAACCTCAGTAGCCATGCCAAATAAATCAGCCCTCTGTCATATTAAAAACAGAGTCTGAACAGGACCTGGAGATGAATGTGATTCCAGCATGGAGAACATGCAGCATTTAACACTTGGATCTAATGCTAAGCGCAGCATAGCCATTTTCAAACTCAGATTAAAAACATTACAGTTTTCTTTTGTTTTTGATTAGATGCCCAGAAACAACTTTTATGCTTTTTCTGCATTCTTAGACCTTAAAACCCAACCCAAATGTTCAGGACACAGGGCTTTACAGGTGTTTGTAATTACTCAGGTGTGTTTAATTACTTCATTTGTGCTGGTATAGGAGAGCTT